TATATATATATATATATATATATATATATATATATATATATATATATATATATATATATACAATTGATTATATATATTATTTATATATTATATATGCGCGGTACTTATTGGAAAGCGCTCGATATCAGTGATAGAGATAACATATTTAGTTGGATTGATGTGAGTTTGTGACCCTGGGTCTGACGGTCGCAAAAAAGCGTGAAATACAGGGTCACAAAACTCATATCAATTCAACTATATATATATATATATATATATATATATATATATATATATATATATATAAGATAGATAAATCAGACGGCTAGATATAAGAAAAGAGTAAACACGTATGCTGGTGTGCATACGCCGTCAAGCAAATAAATAATCATCAAATTTATACATGAGGTATAAACATAATAGTGCTCGATGTGGTTATGCAGAGCAAAGATATATGTTAATAGGTACATATACGTCGACTTACGTGTTGATGTGCGACTAAAGTTTCGCTGGATTACCAGCTCGTCGGTCACAAGATGTATGTTGTTAATGTGCTTATTTGTTTAGTTTTTACAACATACATCTTGTATGAAAATATTTGTAGAAAAGACAGACGGATATCAAATTACATCTGTGAGAAAATGACTGCAGACGAGATGCCAGGTTAGGACCGATCACATTGCATACCCGTTTTTTTGATTTTGTAGAGCATCTCAAGATGAACAGTGGGGGCACCAGACCATATATGGAGACAGTATTCAATAGCAAAAAAGTACTTGGTTTACGTGTTTAACATAATGCGTTTCTAAAACAATAATGAATTAATATAAAACAAAATAATAATCTAAAACTTGAAGGAGGAATTTACTCTATAACCTGTAATAATTGCCACAAGAAATACATAGGGGAAACCTCCTGGAATTTAAATAAAAGATTATTTATGCACAGAAATGATATTTTACATGAACCAATGAAAATAGCTCGTCAGTGCAGTTGCCTTGAAAATATTTGTAGAAAAGACAGAGGGAAGCCATATCTCATCTGTGAGTATGTGACTGGAGTTGAGATGCCAGATCAGGACCTATCATAGACCAACATCTTGAATATGTATTTCAGGCAGCAGATGTGACACTCCGTTGGTGGTGGAAGGGTTTTATTAACACAGATCGAGCAATAATAGAAAATCACCCAGACATTTTTATAATGACAGAAAAGAAAATTTTGCGCACTGATTGACATGAGCGTACGAAATGTTAAAAAAAACCTCAGCGAATGTTTTTTAATACCTTGGGTAAGGTATGAATCGACCTTATTCTCCCCTCACTATGGGTTAATTAGTAGGATTGTGTCAGTAAATCATTATTATCTCAGCAATAATCTTTCAATGTAAAACTATTTTCTGGCGTTAAATTACCTGCAAAAGGTTGATAAGCCATAAAAATACAAATCAATCAATCTGTAAAGGGTTTTGAAAAGCTAAGCAAATACAAAACCCTGAAGAGTGAAATAGAAAAAACAAATATGTGTCACTTAAAAATGTTTTTGTTGCGGTTTGAGCTTTCGGTGTGACACTAAAAGAAACTTAAGAACAATTAAAAGAAAAAAATCTTTTTTTTTTTTTTACAGTAAGTTCCACTATGTACAAGGCACGTGGGGCACTCAAGGTAGAAGATTACATTAAGGAGTAGTTTATATAGATAGAAGGGAAAGATAACGGCTAACTCTAGACTTGAACACGTTATCACGCCAGGAAAACTCAAAAATAGCCATTATCCCGCGAGGAGATTTGTCCATTTAAAGCACATCCTTAATTTGCCCTAGGTCAAAGGTTATGACCCGGTAGGTGATTTTAAAACAAAGATAGGTAAAAAAGAATGAAAAAAAATGTAATTATGATTAAGAAATTGCAAAATAATTTAAAATGTTTTCATATATTTGCTAAATTCCTGTTTATTACAGTTAGGTTCACCCTGTACGTTAGGGCCATTTTATATTGATAGGAGAGGATGATAACGGTTGGCTCTAGACTTGATCAAGTTAAGATTGTAGTGATCGTGGAAACAGCGTCTTGGTAGTCTGTTCATTAGGGCAGTAATTCGCAGGAAGAAGAAGTTACTTCTCGCCGATGAAATGAAAACGGAATGAGGGTGGTTTATTATGATGTAAGTGGCTTGGCGGACCCTAGCCATGAAAGTTAGACCAGGTGGAACCAGGAGATGTTCGTCTGAGCAATTTCCATCGAAATAGCGATAGAGCAGTGAGAGACTCGCCATATCCCGCCTGTGAGAAAGAGGTTGGTGCGGGTAAAATAATTCTTCTCCAAAATTTGAACTCTATCAAGACTGGAATATGAAATCTGGGCAGATCCTGCCCAAATATGGCAACATGACTCCATTATAATCTAGATTTTGTATTTCTTTTATCTCTCGATTTTATGGCACCTAATTTATTTGAATCAACTGATGCTAAAACATTTATCTCTTTGAGTTGAGACATGGCGGACATCTTGTATTACAGAATGTGAAGGAAAAGTAAAATAATACTAGTAGTAACGAATTTTAACCCAAGAAAATTTCCTTGTTTTCTGATTTGAATTTCCTGATGAATCCTTATTCTTCAGTTAATGAATGAATAAGCACATGGCGAGTTCTACAACATATTCGTAGAAATCCACCGATCGTATCGTTAAATATTTTAGATTAAGAACTTTAACAAAATATTTGAATAACAATCTTAAATATGAATGCAGATAGTTATTTTAAGATATAAGAAGGTCAAGATGAAAGAAAAAAAGGTACATTTTTCCATTTCAATGAAACAGGCGTTAAACACATCGATGTTTACTTCGTTCTTTCCTTCATTCTTTGATATTCTCAATGAGAACATCTAGCGTTTCTGACATGGATTTTCCGTCTGTGATCAAAATGGAATAGTCCATTAATTCTGAGAAAGCAGACGGTAAACACTTATAACTTGCTTTCTTTTTTTTTTAATTAAATAAAATGGCGTCCTGGGTGTGACGATAAACTACACCCAGCTGCAAGTCATTTGATCAAGATATTAGACGTTTTGAGGAGTGTAAAACCACCTCTTAAATGGTGATATCCCAAGGTCTAACTTAACCTTGGGTGGTAGCACCTGCTAGGGTCACAGCTATGGGCAAATAGTGGACCCCCAAACAAAAATCAATCAATCTGAAAATGATTCTGTAAAGCTAAACAAATACAAAAACCTGGAGAGTGGAATAAAAAAAATATATGTCACTTAAAAATTAAAAAACGTTTCTCTTGTGGTTGCTGTACAGCTTTATAATAAAATAACCAACAATACATTTTTATATTAATATGACAATCAATATAAGACTAAAAAATATAAACATACATTTTTATAATAAAATTAGCAACAATGCATTTTATGATCTACAAAATCTATATCTAAAAAATACCTTTACCCTGAGAGAATAAAATTGTGTACAAATCATCTGTAGATGAAAGCATAAAATTGCGTGTGGGATATTAAGATTTCAGTGTTAAATTAGCCTTACAGGTTGATATACCAGTAAACAAATTCAGTCAACTAACAATATCTAATTATAGTAAAATTAGCAATAATACCTATTCATAGAAATATTACCAAAAATACATATTCAAAGAAAGATTACTAAAAATACATTTTATCATAGTTGATGACCTACAAATGCGTTCAAAATATATTTAGTTGAAGTCACAAAATTGTGTTCAAATTGTGTTCGATTTCCGCATTAAATAACAGATAGCGGTTGATATGCCGCTAAACAAAATCAAGCAACTGAATAAACCGGCATAGTCTGTTATTTATGAGGTATTGGCAAGGCGTAATGGTCGTTCTAACTCACTAAAGAAGGAAGTGACATGTAGAATTATGATATTATTTATACAACGAGGTTTTTTACGGTAAGATGTGATTTATTTATGTACTTTTAGTGGAATACAATTTTCGTATTTGAAATTTGATACTTAAATATTAATTAGAATGATGGAAAATTGAGGAGAGCCATTATCATTCAAGACCTGAAAGCAAACGCTTCATAAAACAAGACAGTTCAGTACAGAGTAAAGTAGAGGTAGAGGAGTTGTGTGATTTCACTCATCTAAGTATTATTGGCTTACTTGTGTGGGCTTTTTTTTTGTCTGGACATAAATAATTGGCATCACTAATACAGACACACAGATGTCATAACCTGTGTCTCGTCTGAATTTGCGTCATACTTTAACTTTGACAGGAGTTTGTTCAATGAAGCCCCGTACTCGACTCCCTGGAGCGAACACATGTCAATTTGCGCGTTTCTTTGATATACTGGAGAAATACTCGTTTTAAGTAGAGAAAAAGTAAATTGTCAAAGTTCTCCAGCCTTTTTAAATGTTCTATATATACAACATTTTCAACTAGAAATATCTTTTATAAAATTTACTTTTGTCATTATAATGAAACCACTTGAATATTCCTTCTCAGGGTATAGCTATATAGAGCTACACATAACAGAACAGTTTGATTAATTTTCGAATTTTTATAATAATAATAATAATAATAATAAAACAAATCAGTTCAGCAAACTATTTTTCTAATTGTTTAAATAATTAGACACGTTTTTTTTGTAAATCTAATTAAAAACAATAGTTTAATTCGAGGATTTTTTCGGCCCCGTTCAAGGAATGTGTAGTAATTTGGAATATCAGACAACGACAATGCTTATTATTAAGAAAAATGTAGATTTTCTAACATACAACTGGATTTCGTGTTTTCTTTCTACATCTGCTGTCAATCCAACCCGCTCTGTAAACGTTATGTTAGTTAAGTAATTTTAGGAACAGTACACTGCAGAGCTTCAGGGTGATAGCATTGTAAATCCGAAAGAGTGTTTTAACAAGTATTGAAATGAGAGGGTTTTAAAATACGAAACCACCGCTCTAATCGGGGTTTTCTCCAGTCTGTGATGAAACCCCGATTAAAGCTGTGTACTATCGGTCACTCAGGAGCTGGTTTTATTTGTTTAGCGGTATTTCGACCTGCGTTCTGGCTATGGCAGCAAGGCATCTAATCAGGAGGTTTTGAGGAGCGAGGAACCTTGATAGAGCGAAAGATAGAAGGAAGGTAAGAGAAAGCCAAACGTAGACATAGTTAGGGAAGACGGGAGACAGAAAGAGAATAGAAGACAGAGAGAGAGAGAAAGAAGGAATAAAGAGAAAGAGAAAGAGAACGATGAAGACAAAAGTAAAAGAAAGGAATAATGTAGATAAGAGAGGAGGGTGAGGAAGAAAATAAGGGAAGTGAGAGAGGGTGTCACAGAGCACTAGAGGATATATAAGGCAAGAGGCGATTGAACTTTCAGAGTGAAAAAGAAAAGGAAAAGAGAAAGGAAGGAAGAAGGGGTGGAGAAAAGACGTAGGTGTAGTGAGAGGCGAAAAAAGAAAGAAGCGAGAAAGAGAATAAGAGATAGCCATATGAAAGGAATAGAGAAAGATAGCGTGGAAGATAAATATGGAAGATGTGGGTAATGAAAAGGAATGTGATAGAAAAGAAAAGTGGAAGGAGGGAAGGGTGAAGAGAGAAAGGAAATATTGAGAGGGAGGAGTTAGAGAAAGAGAGAGTGAGCAAGGAGAGAGAATGAATGTGACTGCGAAGTGTAAACAGAAATATGGAAAGAAAGTGATAGTTGAAAGGATGGGGGTGTGTGTTTAAGAGTGGAGGTGGATAAAGAGTAAAAGAAGCGTGGAAGGAGGAGAAAGTAGAAGGAAGAGGAGAATAAGACACAACAGACGTAGAAGGAAGAGGAGAATAAGACAGAACAGAAGTAGAAGGAAGAGGAGAATAGGACAGAAGTTAAAGAAAGAGAGTGTAATAAAGAGAAACAAAGAGGAAAAACGAAAGAAGGGAGTAGGAGACTCAGAAGTGGGAGGAGAACAAGTGAAGGAGGTAAAGAAAAAAGGGGTCTTAAGAGAAGAAAAGAAAAACGAGTGATATATATTTGATGGTAGAAAGAAAGAAAGAAGAAGAAAAGAAAGGCAGGGAGTAAAGGTACTTCAGATAAATCACTATAAGCACGTTCTACTAAGCCTAAAATACATGCATCTTCGTTCGTCTTTGTGTCGTGTCCCTGCGGGTCGTTGGCGATCAAGGCTTTACGCAATTTAATGTCTTTTTGCAGCTCTAAATAAATCGTGTCTTTTTGTTATCTCTCTTAAACCCTGTTCTGGCAAACACTTATACAAACACAATGGTTGGTTGCCTTCAAAGTGTCCTGTGAATCAAATTTTCCAAGGTTTCCTTTCTCATTATCAACTCTAAAATTTTCAGCAGTCTCTCTCTCTCCTTCTCTCTCTCTCTCTCTCTCTCTATATATATATATATATATAAATATTTCGTCCCACACTCTCATACTTACACTCTCTCAAATTTCCGGAGTTGTTTTTTTCTGTTTTCTTTTTGAAATTGTAGGTCTGATGAATTGGATCGTATTTACGATTCCAATGGAATAAATTATGACCTTGGAATATTAGTATTTAAGCCTTTTTATTATATCCTTACTCTGTCCTAGACTTTGAGTTCTACCTGGATTCTATCCTCTTGAAATTTTTTATTCAAAAATATACATGTATGTGTATGCACCTATGTGTATATATTTATATATTTTGCATATATATGTGTATATTTACCACTAATATTATCTATCTATCTATCTATCTATCTATCTATAATACATAAAAGATTAATGGTCAGAGTTTAATCAGATCAGAAAACAGTAGTATTAAAAAGTGCTCATTACATGTGTGAAAAAATAAAATAAAAATAAAATTAAAATCACGAGGTCAGTTGAATTTGCTACCTTGGTTTCAACCTTACGGTATCCTCAGACGATTTTTATCAAATGACCTCTTAACGCTGATTTATATCTTAAAAAAAAAACACTAATGAAGGCTACATTATTATTTCCAAAAGTAAATAAACAAACGCACGGCTCTTGGATGTAATGGAAATGAAGGAGGAGGATGTGAAGAAGGAAGAAGAAAAAGAAGAAGGAAGAAAAGAAGAAAAGCAAGTGTATTGTAAATGCATCGGTGGGAGTGAGTGGGTTAAATTACATTTTTTATTCAGCCTTATATGCACTTAAGAAAAAAAAATCCTATATGTAAACAAAGGCTTAAGACTTCGGATTTCGGGTTTAAAAGGGTTTTTTTTTATCCGGAAATTTCATAATCGCTAATTTTTCCTGTTGGCACAGGTTGCAAATATGGTTGTGGTTGTGGTATGGCTTTGATTTTTTTAAAAGTTTCCACCTTATCAACAAATACCTGTTGTTTTTTTTTCTTTTTACTTCCACACCTGGTTAGCTAGTTTGGTAGAGTACCTAAGATTTGATAGCTTAAAAGACCACCTATGATTTTACCATCTACGTTTAAAAGTACCTACCGTACATCATAATATATATATATATATATATATATATATATATATATATATATACATGTGTGTGTGCGCGCGCGTGCGTGTGTGTGTGTGTGTGTGTAAATGAAGAAATATACTCTTAACGTGTGCTATATTTATGGGATAAAGTGCTCAATATCAAAGATAGATCGTCTGTAAATATAAAATGAAAACTGAACACTTAGAGGCGACAGGCTGTTTCATGGTAGACGCAATCGTCAGGCCGATATTTAACAGTTCCCCGACGAGGAATGTATGTAGCACAAGGCCAAGTTTAACGTGGGTTTCTCCGAGCCCGGAGGCTCGGCCCCCAAAAAATAATATTCTCTTTGAACCCGCATAAGCGGGTTCGGGATCTGTCTACCTCCACGGACGAAACTTTGCCCTTCGGCAAAGCCTCACCCGGGTTCCTCTCTGCCAGAGCAGAGAGTTCGACAGTAGTCGCACACAGTCAGAGACTGCGTGTCGACTGCCTCAACGCAATCGTCAAGCCACGAGTTTTTTTTTTCTTGGTTATTTATATATACGGAGTCTGTTTTATTTTCAATTCTATTCTTCCAATTTTTGAATAAGTTGTTGAGTATTTTCGCTCGAATTGTGAATAAATTAACGGAAATTCATATTTCAAATTTCCAGCTTTCTAAAGAAAACCAGGGCGTAGACAAAGGAATTCTAACTACGACCCAGACACCACATTGGTTCATGAAACTGACTGAGATGGTCGAAAGTACTTGAACAAAACAATAACACAATACGAACTACTCGACATATCGCTACTGGACATTGTTCATAAAATGGCCAAAAAAAAAAAAAAAAAAAGAAAGAAAAAAAAAAAAGAAATAGAAATTAATGTATTCCAGAAAAGAGATGACATTCTCCGGATTTTCACTTTATTCAAAAAGTAGTGTGTTGCATTATATATAGATAGGAAAAGAGAAAGAGAGAGAGAGAGAGAGAGAGAGAGAGAAAGAGGAAAGAGAGAGAGGGGGTAAAGATGAACGGTATGTACGGAAATAAATACATATGGGGACATATATGGGTATATATTATCTATATCTGGAAAGAATACCAATAAATAACACAGCACATTTATTACCTACCAACACACTACTTCAAATCACCAACATTGGCAACCTTAACGTGGGTGCTATGGAAAAAATTAAATATATCCTATTTGCATTTCTCCTATTCTGGACATTCTTATACCCATGACATAGTACGACAGAGGGAACAGTACACCCGAAAGAAAACGAATGACAAACATGCTGTGTTATCAGAAAGAGTTTTACCATGTTAAGTCATACACAAAATTATATACAATCATTTAAACTTATCACAAACAGAAAATTAAAAACAAGTGTGCAACAACAAGCAGTGTAAAAATGGGAAAGAGAGACAGGGTCTTATTTGTAATAATTATGAACATGAATTCGAGATGCCGGCGGATTATTTATTTTTCTGGAGAAGCCATATTGAAGTTTCTCAAGGGGGATTCTAGTGGGCCGGATTTATCTTGTAAGCAATTGACGAGGAAAATTTTCTCAAAATGAAAACGGTTCTATAGCGTTTGCACATTCTTTAATAAGCAACAGTGCCGTTTGATTTCTGGAAGCTAACTGACGACTGACTATTTTCGCCAGTCTATGAACTGACGTCACTAAGCGGCTGTCACGTGATTCAACTCTACCAAACATTAAAAATTAAAGAATGTAAGACCCCGACATTTGCAGATGCTGTAACTTATCAGTCTGTATTCACTTCAAACATTCGACTGGTTTCTTATATAGAATAGTAATCAATAAGACAGTAGACAGCGATTGACATTGTGACAATAATATTGCTTATTCTTCTTTTTATCAACAATCTCTGAATATATAGCAGGAGCAACCGTTCACATGTTGCAACGATATAAATAGTATGGACGAATAGTAGACTTATATATATATGTAATATAGATTCTGGAGAGAAAAACTGTAGAGCAGGAAAAAGGGAAATAAATTTCTTAAGAGCAGACCTAGCAATGGATTCAATATAATCTTTGAACTTCCTGTCAAACGAGAATGTTGACCTGAGAAGTCGCATCGGATAACTCTGTTGAAAGTTAGTATAAAAAAAGCTGATGGGAAACAGAAAGGGGTCCATCTGGTGACTAAAAGAGAGAACTTTCGTTTTAGAGTAGTTAAAACTAATATGCAATTCCTTGCCCCGGTTAACAACAGACTGTAGGCAATTTTTTAGATCGGCTACTAACTTGACCATAACGAAATGATCAGAGGGAAATACAAGATTGTAATAAATACTTACATTAAACAAACTTTTCAATAATAAAGAACACATACAGTCACCGATTTATAGATCAGTGACGAAAAAAAAAGAAATATCGAATTATAAAATTGAAATGTAACTCCACCAAATAATTCTGATGAAGCTAAAAGTAACGACACATATTGAACCAGTTAATAGTTTCGTAATTGTTCTTAATTTATATATATATATATATATATATATATATATATATATATACATGCACACCACACACGCACGTATATATATATACATATATATATATATATATATATATATATATATATATATATATATATATATATATATATATATATATATATATATATATATTGAACAACAAAAATATTTAAAAAATTTTTTAAATTATTAAAAACCTTCAGACACACTGGGTTGTAGATTAATATTCTTTCGTTTTTATTATTATTATTTCATTTAGATTCCTCGACTAGTTTCGACCAAAATGGCCATCATCAGAAGAAGGAATAATTCTGCTTGCTGGTAGCAGTAAACTACACAAATGAATGTCTTGATGGAGAAAATGAACTTTTGTCTGTAGTTTTCATTTTAAAAAAAAAAAAAAAAAATTTAATCTTTTTAACATGAATCTTTTTTTTAACATTCCTTGTGTTGGTCAAACAGTCTCTTTTAAGTTGTTATTTGAGATAAGAGCTGGATAGATCTATGCTGCTCTCTCTCTCTCTATATATATATATATATATATATATATATATAGATATATATATATATATGAAGAAATATAGTTTTAAGGTGTGCTACATTTATGGGATGAAGTTCTCAATATCAGAGACAGAGCGTGTGTAAATATAAAAGTGAACATTGAAGTCAACACTTAGAGGCGACATGCTGTTTCATGCTAGACACAATCGTCAGACCAATCGTCAGGTGGCTTGACGATTGTGTCTAGCATTAAACATGCTGTCACGTCTAAGTGTTAACTTCAATCTTCATATATATATATATATATATATATATATATATATATATATATATATATATATATATATATATATATATATCGAACATATATTGCTACTAGTGAGAGATAATATATATATGTATGTATCGTGTGAAAATTTCTGGGACTTTGAATGATTTAGAGCTATGCAAAATATTAACAGACAGGGAAGGAAATAGCTTTGGATGGAATGATATATATATATATATATATATATATATATATATATATATATATATATATATATATATATATATATATATATATATTCAAATATATTATTAAATATAACAGGCAATGAGTATCTATTATGTTTAATCATGATCCGTTCTAAGTTTCGGAAAGCAGCTTTAGTTTCGGGAGAAAATCTGTCCAACATTCGGATATTTTTTATGATGCTATTCCCCAATCTAAGCTTTCGGCTCGAATGAGCTCTCATCAGTGTGGTTATATGGGCACTATAAACGCACGCACACACACACACACACACACACACGCAGACGTACACAAACAGACAAACACATATATGTATATCAATAGGTAGATGCATATATATATATGAATAGAAGGACTTGTATTCATCTATATATGCAGAATAATACACGCACATGTACCCCCGCGCGCGCGCACACACACACACACACACACATATATATATATATATATATGCATAGAACATGCAAGATAGATATAAACGAGAATAGACAGGACATTGATGATATATATATATATATATATATATATATATATATATATATATATATATATATATATATATGTATGTTAAATAACCTCCTCAGATAAAGACGATCGTATGGAATCTAAGGCATAGTGTCCAACTCATTCAGAAATATCTAAAGTATATATATATATATATATATATATATATATATATATATATATATATATACATTTTGAACAATATATACATTACGTGTCATCTGCTGATATATATATATATATATATATATATATATATATATATATATATATATATATAGATAGATAGATAGATAGATAGATAGATAGATAGATATTCAGAATATGTCGGTGGTTTGAACCACTGTTTATATCTTGCACATTAATCTTAACCTACGTGACCCTGTGTCATGTGCACCTGCTTAATTCTAAAATGATTTCCTTGTTGAATTGCAAGCTTTAACCACCGGAGATCTCCCCACCCCCACCTTAATGTATACCGTTTCTCTCACTGTAGAAATCAGCCATTCGATTTGAACAAATGATCCTTAAAAAAAGCACGTTCTCCTCTGGCGAAAGCCACTCGTCTGTTTCCTCGTAAATAAAGCACGATTGTCGTTCACGTCTCCCCTTCAATACTAATGAGTCACTTGAAGCAACAACAAAATCAAAAAAAAAAAAATAACAAAAAAAAAACAAACAAACAATAGGAAGTGAAGACATATGTAAGTAAATGTAGGTTTATCTAGCTGATAACAAAGCGGGCTGTATGACTTGAGGTTTGGCTTTCACGACTATACTCTAGACGGAAATAGTTGTTAATAAAACGAACACAGACATCGCAACAGCATTAGATAAGAGGCTTACAGCAATGTCACATTGAAAAATCGGTCCTGGTATTAAAGCAACATCGACGATGTTCAGTATCTGTATGGGTGATCTCTTGTGAATACAAAGGTGCTGTAAGGTTGGATGTGCGGGCGCTGTAATGAATAATGGCTCAGAATTGGAAATCAGCGAGCCGAGTTTCAATTCAGGTTGAGTTCGTTGTAATCTCTTACATGCAAATATTCTTGGGAAAGGCATGAATCCACCTGTCCCCTATTAGTTATTTAGTAAGAATTTTATGACTAAACCATTATTATCTCCCCAAATAAAATAAAACTGTGTCTAAAATATTTAGATTTTGTCATTATAAATAACGCATTATATATTATATATATATATATATATATATATAAAGTATGTCATAGAGTTTGAAAGTCCGCTAAACACATTCAATCAATCAGCCAACAGCTAAAGTTTGGAAAGGTATGGAACAAGGATCTATTTAAACTGCTAGGAATTATTATATTTACTCAATATATATATATATATATATATATATATATATATACACACACAGAGAAACTATAATATGTATGCAACAACAAGCAGTGCATTCAGATAGAAAAATAGACGGAAATAGAATGGGGCGTAACTCAGGCATGTACGGATTTATTTAACCCTTATGGGGAAGTCCTCCCGAATTTTATATTATTTGTAATCTGCGAGCTATTAGTTGGAGACCTCAAAAGTAAGAAGTACGGAGGGTTCAAATACCTAGGAAGTGCCTAAATATAAAATGGAATATTTGTCGCCTAAACAAGGAAGCGCATCCTAATAGCAAAATGTGCTCTGTCTTATGCATTTTAGCGCATCAATTTGGACGTTGGCTTTTTCGCACAGAGTTTTGGGCGCCCGCTGATTTGGCGCCGGACTTTCGGGCTCAAAACTTTTCGACGCTAGAAAAAATGTTGATTGATCCTGATAAAAACCACCATATGGTAATTAATAGATAGCTTCCGTATAGTACAGAGATAGAGATGCATATTATAAAGGGTTACCAGTTGGGAATTAACCAACACAGAAACTAAGACAGTAGAGAAATACTACACCCTTGTGCAAATTAATTGAAACAACCGCTTTAGTTTCCTATCATTCAACATGCAGTCAGTTTTAGACCCACTGGAGTGACAAGATGTAATAGATTTCTATTTATTAGCCCTTGA